CCAGCAGGCAGAGGCGGTTAGGGATGATCAGGCAGACAAGCGGTTAAGAGCCAGTGATCCCGGATTGTGAGAGGGATGTCCGGTTGCCAGTTTAGGCCCAATCCCTGTGGACATTCCCCAGGGAGTCCCTGATTGGAGAGGGTTCAGGCCGGGCTGAGGGACCCCCACCCCCTCGTGTACAAAATGTTTAAAAAAACATTTATTGCAAATCTATATGCTGGGGAGTGTGCTGCACACTGGATTAACAATTAGTGGACTTTTAAGATGTGTTTGCCATTATGAAGTTTACAGTAGTGGGAAACAGAATGAAATTTAGTTGAGGCCATAAAAAATTGTGCGTCATTGAGAAACCAAGATGGCATAGGTAAATACCTGAAATTGCTGCCTTGCACTACCACTTCAAAAATACAGCTAAAGGACAAAACAGACATCATCCAGAACCACAGGAAGGCTGGCTGAGTGGAAATTCTATAACTAGAAGGAAAGAGAAAAGCACATTGAGACTCAGAGGAGCTGTGGAAGTAAAATGCAGAGGTATGGATGTGCACGCGGAAAGGGCTGACAACTGAGGACGCGGCTGTCTTTTTCAATCAGGAGGGAGACACAGGCTCCTGCTCTGAACTCCAGTTCCAGGCTAGTCTCTGGGGACCCAGACTCATATGGGGAGAAACTGGACTGTGTGGCATTGGTTGGAACTCGAGGGCGGCTTTCTCTCAGAGGTGCTTGCAGCGATTACTGAGGAACACTGAGACCAGGGGCTGCTTAGGGCAGGGCTGAGGATCAACCATAGCTGTTTGCTCCACCCTGTTGATTCCCTGAGACCCCGCCCCACCCAAGCTGTTTGCAGAGGCTTTTGCATATGAATGGCCTGGCCCTTTGCAATCTAAAATTACCAAACAAACTGCAGCTGGGTCAGAGAGACCCAGAACATCCAAAAAAATGCCCAAGGCTCCACAGCAGTTTGCATTGCTTCACATCTGGGCCTCGTGTGCACCTCCAAACCCCAAACAAAGAAGAGGAATCTTCAGATTTCTGTAGCTCCTCCTTAGAGGTCCAAGTGTCAGTGTACCCAGTAGTCAGAGTGGGACCATCCAGATTACAACTCCTCAGATCCATAAGGGACACACTCAGGGGGCAGACTCAGTGGGCACCAAAGCCTCACTGAAGCAAGTCCTGCCCCATAAGGGTGTCTCCAGCACAGAAGTTCTCCCACCATAGACACAGCTGATTCTCACAGCCAATTGGCCTGGAGGAGGTCAATTCCTCCCAATGATACCAACTACAGTCAAGGCTTAACTACTAGAAGACTGCGCACAAAGCCCACAAAGGGGTGCACCAAGAGTGTCCACCTCAGGTAATTGGGGAGGCTGAGCTACTGGGCCCTATAGAACACCTAGCACAGAAAGCCACCCTATCAACACAGGGAAGCAGCCAAAATGCAGAGACAAAGACACAGGTTACAAATTACAGAAATGGAGGAAAGCAAACTAATGGATATAGAGTTCAAAACCACGGTTATAATGTTTTCAAGAATTTTCTAGAAACCTCCAATAATTTAGTGAGGCCCTCAATAAATCTAGTGAGACCCCCGACGATATGAAAAAGGACCAACTAGAAATTAAGCATACACTGACTGAAATAAAGGATATTATGCAGAGATCCAACAGCAGACTAGAGGACTGCAAGAATCAAGTCAAGATTTGAAATACGAAGAAGTAGAAAACACCCAACCAGAAAAGAAAAAAGAAAA